CACTGTCGCCCTTTGTGGGGAGGGGCAAAGGTTGCACATGTCTTAGGGCTCTAAGGCTATAGTGGGGCTAGTGTGGGAGGTCCTGGATGGAGGGTGCAGGGAGGGGGAATTCGTTTGATAGCCACGCCAAAAATTATCCTGCCACCCTCCAAATGCCGCTCTGACCCTCTTCCCCTGGCTGCTCTGCTGTCTACTCCTAGCCCTGTCTCCCTGCCTAATTTTCTGCTTTGCTTTGCGCTTCTTGTCCTATCTGCCACTATGCAGCCTGTCCACTCCCCAATCTGCCATGTGCCACACAGAGGCTGCCTGTGCTACTTGTGGCACATATGCTGCAGGCTGGCCACCCCTGGTCTATAGACACTAGACTGCCTCCCTAATCTGGGCTTTTAAAATTATTTGTTACCTCGTCTTGCATGAGTTTGCATACAATTTATTTCTATCCATTTTAACAGCCTTCCATTAAAACAATCTGATGCTCCTTATTGACAGGGGCCTGATCAGTAATGACCTAAGCATTCAAGTAGCCACTAAGTGCAATAAGGGCTACAGATGCTCAGCATCTTACTGATCAAGCAGAACTTTTCTAGCACTGCTGAATTTATTACCTGCTCATTTTTGCACAACTCTCCAAGTAGATTTTATCTGCTGCAGTCTCAGTCAAATCTATATTAGCCCATACAAATGGTACTGCTCTATCTTTTTCTAAACAGCAGGGGGGAAAGGCTCTCTTGCTTTAGAACACCACAGAAGTGTTTTGATGGCATTTCCAATTAAAAGTTAAGATGACATTACTCTTAATATTTTTGAGACTGGCCCAAGTCTCTTTCTAGTTACTTAACAGCATCCTTTACTTGTTTTCTCAGGGAAAAAAAATGGGTGAAAATATTCAGAAGTATTTTGTTTGATACTTTAAAGAAAACACAAAAAGGAATAAAGCAAGACACTTATTTAAGCATCTTTCATTCTAAGCTGAGGTGTTCTTGATTTTTTCAGCCAATAACCAGTGTCTCAGTTATCAATTATATTATTGGAAACTTCCTGAAACAGAGAAAAAAAGTGAATCTATTTTATATAACTGCCAAAGCAGGGTGTGGCCCACAGTAATTTCAAATACTGTTGAGGATCTGTTCAGAGAAACAACCTCTGCATGTTTAGCACTGTCTTTAGTGCTAGCATAGAACTTCCTTTCCAGCAAGGAAAAAGGAGTAGACGTGCAAATGTTAGCCTGAAAAATTCACCTTCCAGTTTTGCAGCGTCATTGACAGCTTGCATGGTGTCCTTCCTTCAGGAAGAACGAATGCACTATGAACGACAGCCTTTTACAACATCTGAGTACAAATAGCTGTTTTAACACTAAAATACAACTCTCTGCCAATTCAAACAAGATGGGTGGATGCTGATTTCTCATGTTTTTAAAGGAAGACAACAATTTCTGTACCTTAAAAAAATTCCTAGCTTGCCAATAGTTTTTCATTCTTCAAACTATATCATTGTAAGTATTACTGCTGCATACCAAGATGTATTTCAGCACTATGGTGGGAAATAAAAAAAAATAAAATAACACTGCTGAAATAAAGACAACCACATGAAACAGCATGCGCTTTTCCTGAAAGAACAACTTTATTTGCAATAGAATAAAGCAACAATAATTATTATACTGGGCCAAATCACTCCTTCCTGTGGTGGGGAAGCGTGGCTGGGAGCCTTGAGGCAGGAAGATCCTAAGTTTCCCTTGAAGAATGCTATGCAACCCTGAGGAGTGGCGAAAGTCCCTCCTCCAAGTAGAAAGCAGAGGGTTTGGCTCTGAATCTATGGATCTCTGGGGATCCACTGAAGAAAGGTAGCAATTGGAATGGAAGTTTTGTCTCTGGCTTAGTTATGGGACTTGCCAGTTTTCTTAGCTCTCTCCCACAGACTCCTTTGCTTACAGCTGTTTCTGGCAATCCCTCCCCTCACCCCAAAGAGGGTCCTTAGTGCAGAGGAAGCTCAGCCTGAGAGGTACCACACCCTGAGGGCTATATTAACATCTGAATTACTTTGAATTTTTTGTGGAGTGGAGGAGTGATCATATCGACACAAGCACAGTACAGGGCATGCCTTGGCCCCTTTCCCCTGGTGCTGCTGCTGAAAGCATGCTGTTGGTAGAGCCGTGCAATTTGACAGGGCCTGTGATATACTGCTAGTGGAATTTGATGGGCAGGGAATGAGTTGTGGTCCTGCAGGATCCCCAAAAGCTACCGGCCTCCAGTGTTTGCTTGTGATAAAAAACAGTCCTGAAGCAATCGATAGCCAGCTAATGGGAGAGGCATTGAGGAGAGGGGAAAAAAAAAAAAAAAAAAAAAACAATCATGCAAAACTTGTTGTTTCCCAGTCAGTCTAAAAGGGAAAAATTTTGTTAAATA